ATTTGTACTACTGTACTTTCTTAGTCTATTAGACGTTTTTAAAGATATAAGCTCATTCTGATGTTACACTCATCAAGAGCTTTCATTTGAGTACCCATATGCATTTTGATATATTTTTCATATATACATATATATAATATATATAAATATATGAAAAATTGATGTGGGTACTCAAATGAAAGGTCTTGATGAGTGTAACATCGGGATGAGCTTATATCTTTAAAAATGTAAATAGTTCACAAGATAAAAGATCATTTCTTAATTATGTATCTAGAGATAGAGTATTTTCGAATGCAGCCTAAATACTTATTATCATAAATTGACTATTGGTAAGAATGATATGAAACCATGAAAAGGCACAACTCCAGGTCAATACTTTTTTAACGATACCAAATTTAACCATAAAAACCCATTTTATCATATAAATACACTGGCCACAAAATTTTGTTTATTCTCTTAATAATATGGATTATTTTTAAAAAATTGCGTTTATAATTTGTTAAAATTTCTAAGTAAAAAAAAATTTTTTTTTACAGTAATTTATTTGTTAAACAAATTATCAAAATTTTAAAATGTCTATTAATTTCAGTATAATTTATTTATTTAAATTAAAGTAATTTTTTATAAATTAAATTTTTATTGTTGCTAAAAAATAAATTCCCATTTACAGAAATTAACAATGGATCCCGACAGTTTCAAAGATTTCGCCAAAGAAATGGCGGAATTCATCACCAACTACTTGGAAAACATCCGCGACCGGTAATTATAATTAATTAATCAGACTAAATTCCGTATAAATCCTAAATAATTAAAAATTAAATATAAAAATCATTAAAAATGATTTTGTAATAATCACCTTTTCTAGGCCAGTGCTACCTACGGTAAAACCTGGCTACATACAGCCTTTGCTGCCAGCAAGTGCACCACAGACTCCGGACAAGTGGGAAGAAGTTATGAACGACATCGAGAGAGTAATAATGCCCGGGGTAACATCTTAATTGCTTATTCCTATTACATTCCATAAAATTACAGACTTAATACTTTTTTATTGTCTAATTTATGGTGTAGAAACACGTGTTAAACCAACAACCTTGTGTTTATAGGTAACTCATTGGCATAGTCCAAGGTTCCATGCTTATTTCCCAACGGCACAATCGTATCCTTCTATTGTTGCTGATATGCTAAGTGGCGCTATCGCTTGCATCGGTTTTACTTGGGTAAATATTTTTATTTTTTAATTTTTTAAATAGACATTATTTATATTCTTCTTTCTTCAATATTTCAAAAAACTGTCAGTTTATTATTAAAATAATTAATAGAATCTTAGAATAGAAAAAAAAATACGGTAATTATTTAAAAGTGGGGTCAACCCTATTTTGGGCCATAACTAGGTGAAAAATAAATATTTTTTAATTTTTTTTTATTCTACTTGTTTTTACGGCGCATTTATGATAATAGATGCCGTAAAAAAAAAAAAAATAAAGATTTTGATAGTTTTTTTGCCTTTAAAAGTTGGAAAAAATTTTGGCTATCATGTTTTTGAATAAAATTTCTATTTTATCTTTTTTTGATGTTTTTGATATATATATATTTTTTTGAAGTAGATAAAAAAACAAACAAAAACAAAATTGATCAATTTGATCAAAAAAAAAAAAAATTTAACATGGGCTAGCATGAGTTGACCCCACTTGTAAATAATTATCAAAAACACTGAAATGTAAGTGAATTTTTTTAATAAATTTATTAATTTTTTTAAATAAATTTTCTTATTTAAAAAATTTATTTATTTAGAAAAATTTATTTGTAAGAATAAATTTTCTAATTTAAAAAATTTATTTTTTAAAATAAATTTATTTATTTAAAAAATTAAAATGATAAATTTACACGGAAAGAACAGGATTACACTGGATAACATTCCAAATTATACTCAGTGACATTTGTAGTGAAAAGAAATTTCAGATAGTACCTAGTATAATCCAGATTATACAGATAATCTAGATTATACTCATTGAAATTTCCCATTTACCCCAGTAAAATCTCAGATTATACCCAGTGATATTTCCTCGATTTCCTTTTCAGCGCCTGCGCGTGAAGTGCTGTTTACAATTTGGAAATTATACTAGCTACTATTTGAAATTTTTTTTTACTACAGACGTCACTGAGTATAATCTAGATGTTATCCAGTGTAATCTTGTTCTTTCCGTGTGTAATAAAATTAGAATTAAAAAATAATAAAAAATAAAATACTTAGATCGCAAGTCCAGCATGCACAGAGCTAGAAGTGGTAATGTTAGATTGGCTTGGAAAAATGCTAGACCTCCCGAAAGAGTTCCTCGCATGCAGTGGTGGCAAAGGCGGAGGCGTGATCCAAGGGACCGCCAGCGAAGCCACTTTAGTAGCCCTTTTAGGTGCCAAGGCAAAAAAAATCCGGCAGGTCAAACAAGAGCATCCCGAGTGGACTGACAACGAGATTGTAGGAAAACTTGTTGCCTATTGTTCACGTAAGCTTATTTCTTCTTCACCTAATTAATAAATAATCCCTTAATTTAAAATTTTAGACTAAACATAAACTATCGAATTTTTTCTACTTAACTTCTTACTCTCAATTTAACAAAAGTCGATGTCAATGGTGAGGGAAAAAATAATACACATCGAAGCAAGAGCGAGTGGTATGGGAAAGTACTTCATCATCCAGCACTTAGTCGCCATAGTAACGCGTAATAACCACTCTAGTTATATCCATTACTCCGGTGTCGGCTACTGTGCCCTCCATCAAACTTTTTAAAATTGTTAAATCACTGACCGTCAATATCAATATGACCAATTTTAAACACTTAAGAGCAAATGCTTGCTGAATTTTTTAAAATTTATTTTTACTCTTCACTTTTGAAAATACTTGATCATAAAAAAATTTATTCAATAACTTTCAATCGAAAAAAAATTTTATTTTTTAACAAATTACTATTTTTATAGGTCAAGCTCACAGTTCCGTGGAACGTGCAGGATTACTCGGCGGTGTACAGTTCCATCAACTGGATGTCGACTCAAAATCCAGCTTACGAGGAAATACTCTCGCTGAAGCCATTATTCAGGATCAAGAAAAGGGTCTTATACCATTTTATGTAAGTTTTTTCAATTGATTTTAATTATATGCTAATTTAAAGCTATTGAAAGTCTACTCAGACTATCTGATAAACTGTGACCTCGAAAAAATTAACAACAAGCACTCGTGTCAAATTTTTATTCCAAGATATCCAGACTCTGCCACTGCTAATTACCTTCTGCTATACCCACTGTATATCTCAAGAATAATTGCACAAGCTCGGCTGTTTTACTATCACATGTTTAAATTTAGCCATAAAAAAATCACACACGCTTATAACCAGACCAAAACTGCACTATATCTGTAACTGTAATCCGAACAAAAACAGTTTCACTGTAAAAAAATCGCGCCAAGTCCACGTTCATAAGACTATTAAGAAAAAAAAATTTTGTTTTCTTTACAAAAAGATATAAAATAAAAAAATAAAAAAATCCAAGT